GCCCCGCATCGAGCCCCGCATCGAGCCCCGCATCGAGCCCCGCATCGGGCTCCCTGCTCCGTGGGAAGCCTGCTTCTCCTTCTCCCACTCCCCCTGCTTGTGTTCCCTCTCCCACTGTGTCTCTCTGTCAAATAAATAAATAAAACAGACTTTATTAAGGGGGCGACTGGGTGGCTCAGTCGGTTAAGTAACCAACTCTTGCTTTTGGCTCAGGTCATGATCTCAGGGTTGTGAGATGGAGCCCTGCATCTGCACTGGGCTCCACACTCAGCAGGAGTCTGCTTCTCTCCCTCTCTCTCTCCTTCTGCCCTTCCCCTTGCTCACGCTCTTTCTCTCTCAAATAAAAAAATAGCCTTTATTTGTTAGAGCAGTTTTAGGTTCACAGTAAAATTGAACAGAAAGCACAGAGAGTTCCCATATAGTCCCTGCTCACCCCCCCAAAGTCAGCATCCCCTACTATCAACATCTCCCACCAAAGTGGTACGTTTGTTACAGTCATGAACCTACATGGACACATCATTATCACCTAAAGTCTGTAGTTTATATCATGGTTCACTCTTGGTGTTAACAGTACATTCTATGGGTTTTGACAGTGAATAATGGCATGTGTCCACTGTTAGAGTATCGTACAGAATAGTTTTACTGCTCTAAAGATCCTTCACCCCTCCTTTTCCCCAACACTGACAACCTCTGATATATTTACTGTCTCCATGGTTTTGACTTTTCCAAAATGTCATATAGTTGGAACCATACAGTATGTAGCCTGTCAGATTGGCTTCCTTTACTTAGTAACACGCCTTTAAGTTTCCTCCATGTCTTTTCATGGCCTGATAGCTCATTTCTTTTTAGTGCTGAATAACATTCCATTGTCTGGATCTACCACAGCTTATTTAACCCTTCACCTACTGAAGGACATCTTGGTTGCTTCCAGTTTTGGCAATTATGAATAAAGCTGCTATAAACATCCATGTGAAACTTTTTGAATGGACACACACTTTCAATTCATTCGGATAAATAACTCATTTGGGTAAATACCAGGGAGCACAATTACTGGATCATGTGCTGAGACTATATTTAGTTTTGTAAGAAACTGCTAACCTGTCTTCCAAAGTGGCTGTGCCATTTTGCCTTCCCACCAGCAATGTATGAGAATTCCTGTGGCACCACATCCTTGTCAGCATTTGGTGTTGTCAGTGTTTTGAATTTTAGTCATCCTGATACGTGCATAATGGTATCTCGTTGTTTTAATCTGCAATTTCCTAATGCAGTTTCCAATTTCCTCACATAATGTTGAGCCTCTTTTCATATGCTCATTTGCAATCCAAATATCTTCTTCTGTGGGGGTGTCTATTTCAATCTTTTGCCCATTTTTATTCTTTTTTTCCCCCAGTTTATTTATTTTAAGTAATCTCTACAACCAACTTGGGGCTTGAACTCATGACCCTGAGATTAAGGGTCACATGTTCTACAGAATGAGCCGGCCAGATGCCCCTTGTCCATTGTTGTTTTTTTATTTTTTTATTTTTTTAAAGATTTTATTTATTTATTTGAGACAGAGAGAAGGGGGAGGGAGAGAGAGAGAGAGAGAGAGAGAGCGCACATGAGAGGGGGGAGGGTCAGAGGGAGAAGCAGACTCCCCGCCGAGCAGGGAGCCGGATGCGAGACTCAATCCAGGGACTCCAGGATCATGACCCGAGCCGAAGGCAGCCGCTTAACCAACTGAGCCACCCAGGCGCCCCATTGTTGTTTTTTTATTCCTGGTGTTGGGTTTTAAGAATTCTTTGTCAATTTCAGATAATACTTCTTTATCAGATGTGTCTTTTGCAATTTTCTTCTCTTAGTCTATGGCTTGTCTTCTCATCATCTTGAGTGATACAGTTTTTTAAAAAGCAAACAAACTACTTTAAGTTTTAAAAGTGAGTCTATTCAAAGAAAAATATTCAGCAAATAATGATCAAGGTGTTAGGGATATAGCAAAAAATGAAGGCATATCCAAGGGACATGTTTGGACAATACTGATGATGCACCTAGAACCTGGTACACACCTTGGCTCCCAGGCTCCTTTCCTGGCAATTATTCTTGCTATTGCTATTTTAATAATATTGGCAGCTTTTGCTGGTATTATTGCTATTATAATTATGGTTAGTGGCTATTCCTGTTATAACAACATGCAGTCCTATTGTGATCTATCATAGTACACTGCTTTGATGAACCTCTGTATTTCCTCTGTCTCCCTGGAACCTGGGGGCAGTGGGGCACCCTGCAAAGTTGTTGCAGTCATTATTACTGTCATCTTGGTTCCGCTAGCTGTGCGAAGTTTGGATAGGACGAATGGGGGGCGGTGGATTGCAGCTCCGTGACAGGTAGCAGGTGGGTCTGGGGAGGGGTCCGGCCGGTAGCCTCCGCCCCAGCACTGGGCGGGCCAGGTAGGGTCGGTCCCCGTCGGCATCCGTCCGGTCCCCAGCCTGAGCCCGGCCATGGCCTTGCGCAGCGCCGCGCGGATCCTGCCCCTGGCGCTTGCCCTGGCGGTGGTGGTCGAGGTGTCCTGGGGCCGGAGGCCGTCGGGCGTGCTATGGTCTGGGCAGGGCTGCGCCGCACTGGGCCGCTGCTGTCCGGGCCGTGATCCGACCTGCGTCGCCCGCGGGCCCCCGCGCTGCTTCTGCGACCAGGCGTGTGACGCGGTGCGGGACTGTTCCCCGGGCTACGCGCGGGTCAGCCCAGGTGCTCTCCCGGCGCAGGAGGAGGGGAGCGCTGGGCGCGGGGGGGCCGAGAGTCTGGGGGCGCGGCGGAGGAAGGAAGGAAGCCTCCCACCGAGGGGTTCTGGGCCTGCAGGGGCGCGCGAGCAAGTGGGGGGGGGTCTCGTGCGCGCAGGACACGGGGGAGAAGAGTGGGCTGTGGAGGTGCGGGCAGACAAAGATGCGTGGGTCGTGGACAGCGGCGCGCGAGTCTCGGGGGGCAGAATGGAGAAGGAAGCGTGGAGAGCTGAGGGCTGTTTGGGAGGAGGGGCACGAGGACTGCGCTCAGGTCTAAGAGGGCGGCAAGAGGATGGGGGGCTCGAGGAAGGAGGGCGCTTGCTGAGCACGGGTGCGGGGTGCAGGGCACCGAACGGACATGGGCACGTGGGGGCACAGAGGGGTGCGAGAGAAGAGGGGGCGCACTCTGTAAGGAGGGCGCCTGGGGCGCGAAGGGAGTAGGAGGGAGGAGGGTACGCAGGCGGTCAGAGGCGCTGGGGACGCTTCGCTTCGAGGGGTGGGAGGGAGGAGAGGGCGCTTGGCTTGGCATAGGGTGGCCAGATTTAGCAAATAAAAATACAGGATGCCCAGTTAGACTCAAATTTCAGTAAGTAATATTTTTTAGTCTAAATATATCCTAAACATTGCATGGGCCATACCTATGTTAAAAATTGATTGCTTGGGGTGCCTGGGTGAGTTAGTCAGTTAAGTGTTTGCCTTTGGCTCAGGTCATGACCCTGGAATCCCCGGTTGGAGCCCGGCCTACGCTCGCCGCTCAGCCAGGCGTCTGCTTCTCTCTCTCCCTCTGCCCGTCACCCGGCTTGAGTTCCCGCTCTTTCTCTTTCACTCTCTCACTCTCAAATAAATAAATAAATAAAATCTTTAAAAATTTTCTTCAAAAAAATTGATTGCTTTTCTGAAATTCGAATCTATCTGGACGTCCTGTATTTTACCTGGCAAATGGCTGGGGCAAGGATAGGGGGCCCAGGAGGGGTGTCCCACTGACTGAGCCAGCCAGGTGCCCAAGGGGCTGCTTTTGAGTCTGTGAGTGGAAGGGCTCTACCCTTTTTATATTCCAGAAGTAAATTTTTCACGTCCACTGGGGACAAAAATCTAAATCGTGGAACCCTGTAAAGTGGATGTGATCCAACTTTCCTTTGTCAGGGAGAAAAATGAATGAACTCTTCTACCTGAGGCATCTGGGGCTTCCTTCAGGAATTTAGATTTAAAAGAGGACAATTTTTAAAAATCCAAAATTGAAGGGACCTAATATTTATTGATCACCTACCTACCTACTCTGTGCCCATGGGCTGCACTGGGTGTCCCATCAAATCAGACTACTTTCTCCCAGCACGCTGGGGTTCAGCAGGGGAGAAAAGCATAGCTCAGAGGAGAGGGTTTTGGCCAGCCAAGGTGATCCGGCAGGGTTTTTTTTTTTAAATATTTTATTTATTTATTAGAGAGCAAGCAAGAGAGAAACAGCATGAGAGGGGAGAGAGCCAGAGGGAGAAGCAGGCTCCCCACTGAGCAGGGAGCCTGATGTGGGACTCGATCCCAGGACTCCGGGATCACGACCCGAGCCAAAGGCAGTCACTTAACCAACTGAGCCACCCAGGCACCCGATCCAGCACGTTTTGGATCTGGATCTGATCCTATGTCTTCTAGCGCCTAATGCTAGCTTCCCACAAGTTTGAATGGCTAATGGTGGACATTCAGGCAACAGGGAGAGGAAAAAATAATTTGGGGTATGGTGTAATCCTAAATCACAGCAAATGAGGCTCCTCTAGATTAAATTTGCTGAAGGACTATTTTGGACCAGCTTTTGTCCTCGTCTACTTCCTGTACAGAGAGCGCGTGCAGCCCTGGGGTCATTCAGAGTTTGGGTCTGACATCCCTGGTATCCCTGTTCCCATAGGGGCTCCGCTGCCGCAGCCCAGGAGTGGGGGCCCCAGGAAGAGGACCGAGCAGAGGGATCAGTGCCCCTTTTCCACAGTCTGACCCACACCCACAGAATCACACGATGTTATCAGCTCTCCAGCGTTTTCCTTTGCAGAAAGAGCTTGGGCTCAGGGGCCCAGGAACCTCAAAAGTTTGCCTTCCTCTTTGTTTTGCTCCTTTGGGAAAGCAGCAAAAAGACAGGAGGTCTAGGACCTGCCCTTGTGTCTGGGCCTGGGCGGAGTCAAGGGCTTGTGAATGGACCAGGGAAGTTCACTCCTCCCCCCCGGCCCCGCCCCCGGGAGCAGGGCAGGAGGGGTCGTGGGGACCCGTCAGGAGGCGCGAGATGGGGAGGAGAGAAGAGTGTATGTGTTTTCCTTCCCCTTCTTCTTCCCCCTCCTCCTCCTTCTTCTCCTTCTCTCCCCCCGCTTCCTCCTTCTTCTTTTTAAAGATTTTATTTATTTATTTGAGAGACAGGTGGGGGGAGCAGAGGGGGAGGGACAAACAGTCTCCGCGCTGATCATGGTGCCCAACGCAGGGCTGGATCCCACGACCCCAAGATCATGACCTGAGCTGAAATCAAGGGTTGGATGCTTAACTGACTGAGCCACCCAGGCGCCCTGAGTGTATGTTTATTCATGAGACATTTAGGGGTTAAAATTTACTGACTTCAGGGCGCCTGGGTGGCTCTGTCAGTTGGGCGGCTGCCTTCGGCTCAGGTCATGATCCCAGTGTCCTGGGATCGAGTCTTGCGTCAGGGAACCTGCTTCTCCCTCCCCTCCCTGCTCATGCTCGCTCTCGCTATCTTTGTCACTATCTCTGTCTCTCTCAAATAAATAAAATCTTTAAAAAAATTAAATAAATAAAATGTACTGACTTCAGTAATTGATTATGGCAGGCAGAGATGTTGAGGATGACTAAGACCCCCCTAACATTTACTGAGTAAATACCAAGTGCCAGGGAGGTACTGTTGTAAGTGCTTTAAATAAATGGTCTCCTTTAAGCCTCATAACTGTCTTATGGAATAGATGGTATTGTTGAGTCCATTTTACAGATGAAGAACAGAGGCACAGAGAGGTAGTGCCCTGGTCTGAGTTGCACAGCTATTAAGCAGCAGATCTGGGATTGGGGCCCCAGCAGTCTGGCTCCAGACCACAGTATTATATGTGTGCTTGGCCGTATAGGTGAAAGAGGAGCCCTTGACATTTCCCACATCCAGTTCAGTGCAATAGGTGGCCACCTGCTGTGTGCCCAGCCCAGCTAGAAGCAGTCGGCGCTAGAAAGATGGCGCTCTGCTTCCCCTCCAGTGTACGGTCTATTTTTGGGAGACAGGGTGGCTATGAAAGAAATAAAGAATTTCATTCAGAGCAAGAGGAGACTTAGCAATGATTGGTGAGGATGGGGTGAAGGCAGGGAGAGTGGGGCTGAAGCTATTGGTAAGGCCTTGAAGGATAGCTTCAAGTTTTCCACATTCTTTACCAAATGTGTTCATGTATTTTATACTCTTTAATTCTCCCTTCAGCCCTGTAAGGATCAATGTCCTCATTGTACTAATCAATTCTCTTAGGGTTGTGGCACAGTTCATATTGACGTAAATGAACAAGGGGGTTTGTTGGCTCGGGTAACTGAAAAACAGTCAATGGATTTTGACTTCAGGTATAGCTGGATCCAATGACTCCAAGGATGTCATCAGGATTCTATATAGCTCTTTCCACTTTACAGCTCTTCTTGGGTTAGCTTCATTTTCAGGCATACTGTCACCAAGTGGTGGCAAAGATAGTACCCAGTAGCTCCAAACTGGTATACCTACTGAAATGAGAGCATTCTTTTCCCAGTTGTTTCAGCCAAAAAACCCAAGGGATGGTTCTGTTAGGCCCCATCGGGTCACATGCTCATCCCTGATCCAATCAGTCACTGAGCTAGGGAGAAGGAATGTGCCGTTGGCCATGTCTGGGTCACATATCCATCCTAGGAACGAGAGAGTGAAGTCAGCCCTATTCAGACCTTGGGGACGGAGAGTGGGGAGGGTTGGTTCCTCAAAAGAAAACTTGAGTTGGTTTTACCAGAAATTGAGGGTAGGGAGGCTGGGAGGGTAGAAATGACAGCGGGGCAAAACTGAGCTGTGGGAGACGGTGCATTTCAGAAGACCCAAAGTGAAAGCGTGCTGAGCTATTAAATGGGAGGAGGAGGGAGGGAGTGACTGCAGATGTGCTGTAGGAACACTTAAGACTTTTAGCAACTAGGCTTGGGGATCTCTCTGATCCACTATCAAAAAAAAAGACGTTTTGTGAACCACCTCAATAGGAGACAGGAAATACCAAAGGATTTCAGGCAACAGGCTAGAGTTAGAACTGCATTCCAGAAAAGTCTTTTTGGGGGGCAGTGAGAAAGATGGACAGTCAGGGGGCTGGGCAATGAGGTTCAGAGAAGAAGGTGGAGTTTGGATCATCCAGAAAGGCATTTCCTCAGGAGTTGGGGCTGTCGGAGTAGGGGCAGGGGGTCCAAGGGGACTGTGGGAATTTCAGTGTGGCTCCAGCAGGCTCAGATGGCATGATGTTATCCGGATCTGCAGGGCTGGGTGAGCAACCTTAAACCACCCCCACCCCTCTTTTTAAGCTACACTGATAAGCTAGAATTTCTCCTTTACTCAGAAGAGGGTGATGGCCTTTGTTTTGAGAAACACTGCCATCTTGTGGCACCTTTTTGCAATGCCAACCTGTGGTCCTATTTCTTTTGTTGTTAAGGCAAAATTTGCTCTGCTCGTTTGTTATTCACTGACGTGAATGTGTGTGCCAGGAACTGTGTGCCAGGAACTGTGCTTGGCGCTGGGATTCAGCAGGGAACAAGGACCTTGCTTCCGGTGGAGCTGACATTCTACTGGAGGAGGCTGATGAAATACAAATAATCACATGAGTGTACTAAGGTCATGACCCTAGGCCTATGGGAAGTGTGATGACATTGCCCTGGGAGTGTCATGTGTGCATGCTCCTTGGTGACTTTACAGATGCCAGCAACATGGAAAGAATATTTGTAAGGTGGTGTCTGCCTAATTTTCTGCAAAATCTTTCACCTGCTTGGCAGGCCCGGCAGGGCAGGGCAGGGGATCTTTGGTGCTTTCCCTGGAACCTGGGTACAGCTGCCAAGCCAGTGCCTGAAGGTGATCTGCAGTCTCCCTGCCAGGTTGTCCAGCCACCCTGTGAGCACTTCCAGTGACACAGTACTCATTTCTTTTTTTTTTTTAAGTGCACAGCAACATTTTTTAAAAAAGATTTTATTTATTTATTTGAGAGAGAGAGAATGAGAGATAGAGAGCACGAGAGGGAAGAGGGTCAGAGGGGGAAGCAGACTCCCTGCTGAGCAGGGATCCCGATGTGGGACTCGATCCCGGGACTCCAGGATCATGACCTGAGCCGAAGGCAGTCGCTTAACCAACTGAGCCACCCAGGTGCCCGGTGACACAGGATTCATTTCTTCTAGCAGCTCCTTCTACTGTAGATGATCCTCTCTTGTCTGGACAACTGCATTAGTGCTCTTGCTGGTCCCCCTGTTTCTGTTCTCACCCCTCTCCAGCAGCCAGAGACATCCTGTTCAAACCTGAAATGGGATCACCTCATCACTCCTCTGGCTCAGAAACTGGCAATGGCTCTTCATGCTTAGAATAAAATCCAAATTCCTTCCAGTAGTCATCAGAGCCCTGGAAGCTATCACTGCTCCTCTCTCTCTGACACCACCTCCTACCACGTTCCTTCTGCATGTTCTGCTCTTGCCACACTGTATTTCTCACTGTCCCTTCGGCATCTAACCTTGACCCTGCCTCAGGGCCTTTGCACTGCCCGTTCCTGCTGCCTGGAACACTTTCCTCCCAGATGCCTACTCAGCCCCCTCCCTTGCCTCCTCAGATGTCCTTTGTCATGGGGGCCATCTGTGGCTCCTCCATCTAAAAGTGTCTAATCACCCCACCACTGCCCCTCTTATTCTGCTTTGTTGTCAGAGCATCAATCACTGCAATGAAATAATATACTGTTTATTGTCTGTTTCCCCCACAGAGCGTCAGCTGTTCAAGGGCAGGGCTTTTTCTGCTTTGCTCCTCTTGTTCCCAGCACCCAGGCCAGTGCTTAGTGCACAGTAGGCCCTAAACAGTTGTTGAATAAATGCATCAAGACCCCCCTGTTGTATTGAGCATTTATAATCTGCTCAGCGCTTCTAATTTGTCATCGCACCAATCCTGTGAGATTGCAGTTTGAATCCCAGTTTGTCTGATGCCAACGTCTTGCCTCGACTCTGATATTCCACACCCTTAAGCTCCACTTGCCTCCCCTGTGAGATGGATTTGACAATAGTGCAAATACATTTGGAGCCAGCGTCCTGGCAAATCACAGATGGTACACCCAGAACAGTTGAAAGGAAGAGAATTTGATGAGGGCTCTATTCACAAAGGTGAGGGCCAGGGTGTGGGAGGAAATGGTCTTCTGGAGCCTGGTGAGAGCAGGAGCTATGGCTGAGGCTCCCCAACCCAGGAACAAGGCTGAGGCAGGGGTGGGGGGGTGCTGGGGGTACACAATAAACACCTCCCTGCTGGTGCACCCCCTCCCCCATTGCCTGAACTCAACTGGCAGCCTCAGGGCCAGGGAGCCTCTGTGATGCACAGGTTTCCTGAGGGCACAGGACAGAGAAGGATCTGGGAGAGCACAACGTTCTAAGATTGTCGTGAGTGATGTGAGGTCAGTATGTGACTTGCTTGGTCCAGCACCAGTGACATGGTGATGTCATTATTATGCGGGTGGTGAAAGTAATCAATGATTGTGAGGTTGTCATACTTTATCCGCCGCTTCCTCCCGCCTTCCTTCTTTCCTTCTTCTGAGCATTTCAACTCTGCTAAGAGTTGAGATCTATGCAAGGAACATGTGGCTTCCTGAGGTGTCAGAAGCAACGCTGTCTGTGTTTGTAACACAATAACCTCATTCCATCAGTTCAAGGATGCACACTTTTTTTCCTCTTCACATTTTCATGTTGCTGAACTGGGGCATGTCTCATAGCTGATGAGTGTTTTCAGGAGGACAGACTTCCTCTTTCTTGTTCACCACTGTGTTTCCAGCACCCAGGACAGTGCCTGGCTCACAACAGACCCTTGGTAAATAATCTGTGGAGCGAGTGAATGAATTCTTATTGTAGTAGCTGCCTTGTGTGTGCATGAGTGTGTGTGTGTGTGTGTGTGTGTGTGTGTGTGTGTGTGTGTGTCACTGTTGGCTTGCTGGCACATCTGTAGAAATTCTCTTCCTGGTGAAGTCCTCAGATCCTGTGTTTTGGCTTGATGGCCTTCTCTGTCTGGCTTGGTCCAGTCCTGATCTGGGACTATGGACTTGGATGAAGATGCTGATGGTCCTGGGGGGCTCCATCATCAGAAAATACCTCCCCACTAGGCCCCCAACTGTGGTAGGCACATGAGCATCTCAAGGACATTGACACCCAGCGCCTTCCTTCTTCTAGTGTGATGAGCTATTTCAGACATACTGCAATGTGAGAATAATATAACAAACCCTCATGAAAAGCTAAGAAGCAAACTTTGATGAAGGCCACTGGTACTTCTGCGTTCCCCTCCCCCACCCCCTGTAGTCCTCCTTCCTTCTCTCAGAGGTAACTACTCTGCTGAATTTGGTATTTACAATTCCCATGCATAGGTATGCATGTGTTTACATACATAAATATATACAATTGATGTGCATATATATGTAGAGAGAGAGAGAGAGAGAGACCGTTCTCATGATTCACAGTAGTTAGGTTCCATGAAATCGCAGCAAACACTCAATGAATACAGAACCATTGCTCCTAGGGGAAATAAGTACACACGGATCTCACATACACTATAATCTTAAATCCTAAAACAACCCATTTTGGTAGATTCTATTTTCTTTGTTTTACAAAAGAAAAAAACAAAGTTCAGATGTGTGAAGTGGCTGGTCCAAAGCCGCCACACTACCAGGGGCCAGAGATTGAGATTCAGACTTGGTTGAACTTGAACTTGGCTGCGGAGCGGAAGCTCCCAGTGCTTCACATGGCCACTTGCAGCCTCCATCCAAGGAGGCAGGTTGGGCCAGTTCGACCTCAGCTGAAAACGTGCACATCGGGTGACTTAACATTTTTGCTGCTCTGTACATGTCTGTGAATAACTGCCAAAGCACCTCAAGTATTGATTTTGGGGGTTACAAATAAATTTTTAGCAAAAGGTGAATAGACAAATGCAGAATCTGTGAATAACAAGGATCAGCCATTTATATTCTCCTATATATGAGACCTGTATGAATTCTTTTTCTTTTTTCAGGTTTTATTTATTTAATTGACAGAGAGAGACACAGCGAGAGAGGGAACATAAGCAGGGGGAGTGGGAGAGGGAGAAGCAAGCTTCCCGCTGAGCAGGGAGCCCGATGCGGGGCTTGATCCCAGGAGCCTGGGGTCACGACCTGAGCCGAAGGCAGACGCTTAACGACTGAGACACCCAGGTGCCCCAAGACCTGTATGGATTCTTAAACACTATACAGCACTGTTTTGCAGGTTCTAAAACTGTATGTGAATACTCTCACACCAGAGATAGCTTCTGCAAGGGGCTTCCTTCCACTCCATGTTTTTGGTCGTGTAGCTGTGTTTCATTTCACTGCTGTAGAAGCTCGTGTTTACTGAGCACTTTCTATGTGCCAGGAGCAAATGCTTTATGTTCATAGCTGACTGAATCCTCAAGGCCACCCAATCAGATGAATACTGTTCTTATTCCTGTTTGACGAAGGAAGAAACCGAGGACGGAGAGGTGAAATCGGGTGCTGTTAAGAGCTTAGGAAATGTTTTTTGGAAGAATGAATGATGGAAACAACCCAAATGATCTCCAGTAGGATGATGGGTAAATAAAACATGGAATTTGAAGTTTACTTAGACGTATAAACAGTTGTCATAGAGAAAAATTCAAGCAAGGCATGGACTCAGGTTTGCAAGAGTTCTAGCGCTCATGTGGTATTTTGGGGGGTCTGGCTTGTGAGGAAGGCCTGGCGGCTGGTCCGCCAAATTCCATAGAGGTGACCTTGGAGACACCCCCCCCCACCGCCCTCTCTTCCAGGGGTCTCTTGTTTGTGGTAGAGTGGAATGGCTGGAGTTGCTGTGTCAAGCCCTGCCAGATCTCCTATCGCATCTGCCGGAGGCATGTCCTGCGGGAGCCAAGGAACGGGTGTGCTCCCTGCCCCCCACTGGAAGAGCTGGCTGGCTGTGTGGATTACTGCGGCCGCCAGAGAGTGGAGTGCCAACAGTCTTTAAGTGAGTTGGAGTGGCCCCTAGGGGTGGGGCAGCTGTCCGTGGGAACTCCCTGGCTGGACTTGAGAGCCTTCCACGAGTGTGGGGTCCGAGTTTAGGGTAGGATTTTATCTTCCTTTACCTTGATTTGCCCTCTTCACCTTATGAATGAGGTAAGAAACTCTGACTTCCTGTGGGCATCTCCTATCTTTTTTCTACTCATCTTCCCGTGTGAATCAGTCAGGACTTAGTTTGTATGCAGGTGGTAGGAAACCCATGTTAAATTGACCTGAGCAAGACTGTGTGGTTCATGTAAACACAATTCTAAGGGCTGCATTCAGGCATGGCTGGATCCAGGGACTCAAGCAATGGTCCCAGGAATCTCTCTCCATCTCTCAGCTGTTTTCCTCCAGCTGGCCTCATTCTCAGGCAGCCTTTCCCCCTGTAATGGTCTTTGATAGCACCCGTCTTGCCTCCAACTAGACCAGCAGCTGAAAAAAAAAAAAGGTCCTTTCCCATAGTTTTAGCCAATGTCCTAGGATGAAGTCTCATTGGCTTGACCTGGGTCACATATCCACTGCTAAACCAATCAGTAAGGCTAGAGCGATGGACTATTCTGATTGGCCAACCCAAGATGTGTGCTCCCTTTGCAGCTGGGGGTGTGGTCAACCCCACCTGAATGGGGATAGGGAGAGGTGTTTTCCAAAGGATAACTGGGGAGAATGGATGCAAGGCAGGCAGAACTGTAGATGTGGGCTGCATCATACACCCAACAAAGAGCTTTTACAGAGCACTACAGAAATAGATGATGCCCATTATACAGAAGAAATCGACCAAGACATTGGAAGTTGTTTTTCTGAGGTGGTAGAAGAGCAGGCAGCAGGGCTAAATGGTCCCCTTCCAATCTCTTCCCTAACTACAGCCTGGTGGGAGGGGAGGTTGTTCTACAACAAATCTTATATGGTGTCATCCTCCTGCTACCTCCAGTGGCTACCCAGCGCCCTCAGGGCGAAACACAAGCTCCTCATCAGTTCTCTAAGCTCAGTGCTCTGGCTTTTGTCTCCTGGGGCCTCATCTCCTTCCTCCCTCTGCTAAGTTTTAAAGGATCGTTCTGAGTGCTCTGGGGGCAGCTGACTGAAAAGGGCCAGAGGGCAGCAGGGAGCCCAGGGATGACGTGGCTGCAGGAGTGCAGGCGAGGGAGGATGGTGGCTAGACTAGGGTGATGGAAGAGGGAATGGTGGAAATCCTTCTCCCTTTCCCTTGCCACCCACATCTGACCTTGCCTGGCTCATTTCCTGCATAGATGTCAGTTTTCCGGGAAGACCTTTCTGACTGCCCCTAGTAGGTGCCAGGCACTTTGCCACATCGCTTGACTCTGTGAGGCCAGTGTTACTATTCTCATTTTACAGAAGGGGAAACCAAGCCTCAGGGATGCACAAAACTTGCCCAAGAGGCATGGCTCATTGTAAATCACCTTATTTAGCTCTGACCATAACTCTACGAATACGTACTAATATTATCCCCATTTTGCTGATGAGGAGGCTGAGGCTCAGAAAGGTGTAGTGACTTGACCAGGATCACTCAGCTGTAAGAAGGAGAGCTGGAACCTGGGCTTCTCTGGACTCTCCTCACTGTAGGCCCTGCACCAAAAGAAGCACTATGCATGCTGGAAGAGAGGAGGGAAGGGAAATTGTGTATTAAGTGTGTTATGGCAAAGACCAAACCCAGTCTCTCTGGCAGCAGCAGGGAGAGGGGCCTGGGATCCCTGGTGTGGCCCTTGTCTAGGTCACAAGCATTAATTCAATACCGCATCTTTGATTCAGCTCCATCACTCAGGGAATGGGGAGAGGTAGGGATGTCCTTTGGCTTCTTTATTTTCCTGAGGAATCTCTACCCCCTTTGGACTGACTCCTTGTTCTCCTCCTCTTTGTTCTCTGTCTGGTCCAGGAAGGAAGAGACTTGGAAGCTGGCTCAACAAAATACTTCTTTAATTCATTCATCCATACATCCGTCCACCTTTTGGTCCATCTGTTTCTTGTATTGGTTCATCTATCCATCCACCTGTCATCTCTCCATCCATCCTACTTTCCAGTCATCAGCTCTTCTACCAATCATCTGTCTCTGCTTTTCGTCTTTCTCTCTTTCTTTCTTTCTTTCTTTCTTCTTTCTTTCTTTCTTTCTTTCTTTTTCTTTCATCCATTCACTCAGCTATGAACTTTTATCTACTCTTTTTTATTCACTTATTCTTTCATCAAAATCATTCATTTGAGGGGCGCCTGGATGGCTCAGTCGGTTGAGCATTTGACTTTTGATTTCAGTTCAGGTCATGATCTCTGGTCATAAGATTGAGCCCCAAGTTGGGTTCTGCACTCAGCAGGAAGTCTGCTTGAGGATTCTCTCCCTCTCCCTCTGTCCCTCCCTTGCCCATGCGCATGTGCTCTCTTTCTCTCTCTGAAATAAATAAATAAATAAATAATAAAATCTTTAAAAAAAATAAATCATTCACTTGAAAAACTTTTATTGAGACCCACTATGCAACCTACTGTGCTAGGCCCTGAGTGGCAGAGATGGATCTGACCCTGCCTCCAGCATCACATAAAGGGTACTATTGGGGACCACTTACCCAGGTGCAAGATCCCACAGTCTCCTTTGGGCTGCCACGTAAAGAGCTCGAACATCAGCAGGACCTAACCCTGTTTCTTGTGTTGTCATAGTCTGGGGGATGCTGGGCCACCTAATTTTGTTTTCTCCTTGGTCCACAGTCCCTGCTCTGATAACCACAGGCAGCTACGGGAACAAGCGGAAAAAGCGAGGTGTCCCCAAGGAGCAGGAGACAGTAGGGTAAGTTAATGCAAATGAACCCAAGTCAAGCTAAATTTGTGAACGTTTTCCCTTGGATTAAACTGCCATCATTTCTCTCTCTCTCTTGCTTTGATGGCATCAGTATCTCCCCATTTCTTGTTCTGTTACCTTTGTAAGCTCATTAACATGGATTTTGAAGTCCTTAATAACTGGTCTCCATTCAACTTCATTCATTCATTCACTCATTCCTTCACTCAATGTTTATTGGATGCCCATTATATGACAGGTACTGGGCTAGGCCTTGGGGCTACAGCAAAGAACAAGAAAAGACAGAAATACTTGTAGGGTATTCATAGGGTGAGGGCAAGAAGTCTCCAAATAAACCACCAAAAGGTGGAGCGAAAGTGTGCTGGGAAGACAAACGTTCCAATTTCCACAGGCTTCTGGTGAGGGACAGATTCCGCCGGGGTTCTGGGGCAGCTCAGAGAGGAAGGGGCTGAGCGCAGCTCTGGCTTGTCTTGGCAAACGGTCTACTCCTCAGGCCCCCAAGAGGCTGCAGCCACCAGGGGGCAGCAGCCCCACACCGAGTCTCCCCGGAGTCCTTGACCGGCGGCGTCTCTTCCGGCAGGATGGGGGCGGGGGTGGCGTTGACTGCTAATTGTAGAGAAAGTTGGGTAGAAGTAAAATCGTAATTGGCTCTTATTTCAGATCCTCCGGAATGTGGAACTGCCCTTTTAAATACTTCTCACGACACATCTTTTCTATAAAATCGGATCTGTTATAAAATGCCGCGGCGCGTTTCGGAGTGTCACTTTGGGCTTTTTTGGGTTTGGGTGGTTCCATTTTAGGCACCACCACTTAGTAGCTGTGTGACTCTAGGCAACTTCTCTCTCTGATGCTTAGGTTTCCTAATCTGTAAAGTGGGGCAACACCTACCTCTCCGGGTTTCTGTATTAAATGGTTCATTCAGCGCATTTTTATGGAGCAGAATACTATTCTAGGAGCTGGACACAACCGTGACCAGAACAAACAGGAGTTCCGGTCCTCCTGGGGCTGGCGTGAGACTGGGACACAGACTGAGAAATAAACCACACAGTCTTTTGGATGGGATGCTTAGACGGGGCTTGACGCATGGAAGTCCTCATGATGTTAAAGAGTTGAGCCGAGCCTCTTGTCGCATGTGACCTGTTGGTGAAGAGTGGGCTGCCCAAAAGGTTTCTATTCTCAGGCAGAAATTGTACCAAGCTGGGCCTACAGAAGGCTAGGTACCCAGTAGGTGCTCCATAAATGCTCACAGGTGCTTGGGGTGGTGTCTCCCTGTGTGGCTGCAGGTACGGCGTTCAGTTCCTGCTGGGGCCCGTTCCAGAGAGCCGCCGGGAGAGCCGCCGGCAGGTGAGGGCGCCCCACGCCCAGTGGACAAGGTATCTGACCCAGGGCCACATGGTTTGTGTGAGGTGTGAGTGGCCTGCCCCGGACGCCAGGAACCAGCGCTGCTACGGGGATGTCGGCGGGGCCGGAGGGTAAGCAGTAGATCTCGGGCCTGGGGAACTGTGACTGTAGAGCCTGGGACTTCTCTGTTGCCCGAGAGACAAAGATGCTGTAGGAGTGAGATGTTGATTCCTGGCTGGGGTGGGTCCCGCTCTGAGCTCCAATGTCTTCAACTGAAAATGCAGCTAATAAGAGGGCCTAAGGGGGAAGGTTAAGCAAAATTGTGCACATTGAAGAGATCACATAGTTGCTGACACCCAGAAAGCACTCATGGAAAAGGGAGCTGGTGTTATTACTGAATCCTGCCGAGTCCCTTAAAAGCCTGCTTTGGCTACCCTCACTTTATAGGTAGGAGAACCAAGGCTCAGAAAGGCAGTGTGACTTAGTCAAGATCACACAGCACGATTTGACCCAGATTTGGCTTATATCAGCTTTTTAGACTGCCTCCCTCAAGGACAGGTGTCTCAGAAAATACTTAATAAACTAATTATCATGGTAGCTAACATTTATTGAGGGCTTACTATGTGTTAAGCATTATTCTAAGCTCCTTTTTAAAATTTTTTAAAAGATTTTATTTATTTATTTGATAGGGAGAGAGATAGTGAGAGAGAGAGAGAGAGAGTGAGCACAAGCAGGGGCAGCGGCAGGCAGAGGGAGAGGGAGAAGCAGGCTTCCCGCTGAGCAAGGACCCCCCCAACGCGGGGCTTGATCCCAGGACCCTGGGATCATGACCTGAGCTGAAGGCAGACGCTTAACCGACTGATCCACCCAGGTTCGCCCTAAACTCCTTTTTAAAAATTCATTCATTCGGTAAATATTTGTTGAGCACTTACTATTGAGCACGTGCCAGGCAATGTTTTAGGTGCTGGGGAGACACAACGAACAAAGCAGATGTGGTCCCTGCTCTTATGGAAACAACATTCTGCTGTGTGGAGACAGACATTAGGCAAGTAAATCTGTAATTTGTCAGATGCGAGATAAGTGTTAGGGAAGAAAGCAAACTCGGGGAGGGGGTTTGTTATTTTTCAAGGAAAGTGGCACTAAGGAGGTGACATCGGAACAGGAATCTGAAGGAAATGAGGGGGCGGCCATATGGATAATTAGGGGAAGGATATTCCAGGCAGAAGGAACAGCAAGTGCAAATGCCCTGAGGTGAGAGTGTGCCACCATTGTGACCAGAGTGGAGTGAACGGGGGGGAGTGTGGAAGGAAGTGGAGTGGCATCATTAACACACGTGATGCCATTGAAACATTCCAAGAACTCGTCAGGGACCCTGAGGATCCTCCTTCCAGGTGGGGAAGTGGAGATGCGAAGAGGTGTCCAGGGTCATACACTCAGCAAGTGGCAGAAGCGGGATTTGGACCTGCATTGATCAGATCCCTGAGCCAAGCTCTGGAGACTAGACTGTTTCTCACTGCCCGTGCTTTCCCAGCACAGGGGTTATTATCCAAGAGCTCTCTTCTGGGGTCTGTCCAGGGATTTATTCTCACATTTGCAAGGCTATTAATTTCCTTCCTTTTAAAAGTGAGCAGCCCTGCTCACTGCAAACCTAAAGCAGGGAATGCCAATGCCAGATGGGGTTCTTGGGACAGATGTGTCTGAACAAGAGGCATTGGGCCTGCACAGATCTGGGTTCAAGGCCCACCTTTGGCCCTTACTAGCTGTGTGGCTCTGGGCGAGCCCGCCTCCTGACCCTGACAGGCTCCACCACTCGGACTGTTGGAAGGATCTGGAGCTCTTTGCACAGCACCTGGCCCCTCGTAGATGCTTAGTAGTGGAAGCTGCTATTGTTACATCTAACCTATAACATGGGTATAATAATAAGTACTTTGTGAAAATGAGGTGTAACAGATGTGAGGACCCTGGCTCAGAGTGGGTATGCAACAAACAGACGGCAGTCAATATTATTACATTCTAGGGAGGCCCTCTCTGCCCACCCCCTCCAGCTTCTCTCCCACTTACCTGTCTCAGACCCCAAATTTTCCCATCACAGATTTGTTCTTCGGCTTAGATGCTCACCAGTTAGAGCCTCAGTTTATATCCATCCGTTTTTGGATAAGCCTTTCTAGCCCTAAAACTCTGATGAGTCTCCGATTTCTCTTTTGGATGCAAATAGTTCAGGATAAGGAGCATGGCACTTTGGTGAGGCTGACATGGGGGTCACGGGAACCCCTGCCCCAGGGATGGGTGGCCTGGAAGGCAGAGCCAAGGCTGTGCCAGAGAGAGGCATCTCTCCCCGCCCCCACCCTGCCTGGGGCCAGGCTCACAGAACAGGTGATGGAAGGTCTGACTGGGGCATGAGCTCACCAGGCAGGACTGGGCAGGAGGGGGATCAAAGCGAGGATGGAGACAAGCTGTCAGCCAGATTCTTTCCGTGGGTGGCTGGGGAGGGCGGGCATGCAAAGGGCACGGGCCTGGGGAGGGATTAGCCTGTCAGTTGGGGATTTCAGGAGGGTTTATTTAGCCTGAGAAGTGTCTGTGAGTTTGGGACAAGCACAAGGGACACCTGCTATAGTCATGCACCTACTGTGTGCTGGGTGCCAAGCAGGTGCTTTATATGTGAGATCTCATTCAGACCTCACAAGCCCTTTTGAGACAAGGGGCATTAATGCCATTTTATGTAACGAGGATGACAAAAATAATGGTAACTTAAATACTATCATTTGTGAAGTGCCTATTATGTGCCAAGCACTGTGCTTAGACGGGTAGAACAGTGCCTGGCGTGTAATAGGCACTCAGTCACTCAGTGTTTGCTATTATTGTTAGTTATTATGTTGCATTTTTTTTAAAGGTTTGAATTATATCTACAGAGAATTGGCTAAAGGAATGCTCCTTGTAGCATTCGATCGTTTGTTCCTGTTGCCGAAATGGTTCGCTGTCACATCCTGATCGTTTTCATTTTCTCTGCACAAAGCAATTCATAGAGCCCTCCCGATACTTCAGAGAAGTGAAGAATATGGATATCTCTGTTTTCCACTGAAGACATGGAGGCTCCTAGGAGCTGGGTCACGCACATCCTTGATTCTAGAGTCTGTGTTCTTAATCACGTCCACCGTGTTGCCTTCCAGCAGGAGGAGAAGGGGATGCAGGGAATAAGCAAATTGCCCAGTTTGCCCAGCAAGGATGTGACAGTGTCATCTCACCAGACATTAAGAGCTGGGTCTGGATTGCCCTTTGTGGCCTCTGGGGTCGTGCTCCACAGCCAGCTCGGGGCCAACTTCTCTATCAGGCTGCAGTGCCCGCACACTTTTAGGGGCCATGAAAATGATTTAATTTTAACTTCTTTTAAAATCAGAAGAAAAAAGATTTGTAACCATAATAATGATAATGAAGATCTAATTATAAATCCAGCTTGGATTATATTTGTCTTTGTACAATACAGCCATAAACTGTGAATTTAAAACCTTCTTTTGCACGGTGGAAAGGGCACACAGAGGCAAACATCCCGGGAGCCCAGGAGAGTCCTAATGCCCCTGAGCCAGCCCCGTGTCTTGCAGGAACCAGCTGTTGCAGTGCCAAGCAGCCGGCCACCCCCCGGTGCCGAGGGACCTGGGAGAGGCTCAGGCAGCTCCAGGACTGTTCCTGCCCTGAGGTCCACAGCCTCATTTTCATCTAGCACCTGCCCGTGACCCCCTACCTGTCCAGATCCCCTCTTTCCAAAGCCTCCCTGGCTGGCAGGGAAACCCTCAGGGCTTGGGATCCCATAGGATGAGGGAGTAGGGAGAAGTATGCAAATGTGAGACTGGAGGAACAAGCCTTGTCCTTATGTTGACACTGAAAATAGCTTTATGCTTCCCCTCAGGGCCAGCTGAGTCATAGCCTTCCTGACATCTCCCGCTAGTTCAGGGCCTCCCAAAGTTCATCTTCTAAACATACTCGTGTGGCTTTTACGCTATTCTCCCTACCTGCAGACTCCCCCTGCCTTTTTTTTCTTTTTTTACTCTCCACCCCTACTTTTTTTTTTTTAAGATTTTATTTTTAAGCAGTCTTTACACCCAACACGGGGCTCGAACTCACAACCCCGAGATAAAGGGCCACATGTTCCTCTGCCTGCGTCAGCCAGGCGCCCCCACCTCTACCTCTTTTTACTTAAATAAATTTACTTTAAAAGGAAGCTTACACTTAAATACATGTGTTTAAAGAGGAACTGTTTTATCACAACTAGAAATAAAAATAAATAATAGTAGCCACTTTTTAAAAAGAATCACCATGTGCCAAAGACTGTCCCGACCCTTTATACACATTGACTCATTGGATCCTGACTTAGGTGCAATTATTATCCCCATTTTACATGTGAGGATATTGATATAGAGAGGATAAGCCACTTGTCCAAGGTCACACAGTTAGTGGCAGAGTGGGGGATTTGAACCCAAGAGCAACGTCTCCTGTTAAGATTCCCTGCATGAGTAATACATCAGCTGCATGAGGGCAGGTTTTTTTCTCCTGTTCCCTGCTGTGACCCCCATATTTAGAACCTGCAGTAATGCTCAGTACATATTTGTTGAACAAATAAATGAATGAATGAATAGATGAATGATCAGTTGCCATACTTTGAAGGCAATCAGAAAAATAAGTATAATGGAAACCAAACAAGTCTGGGTAGATCTTTCCTGCCCAAGAACTGAGCATGAAGCCTGCTCTTGTCTCCTTCAAACAAGAAATTAGCATGTATCTGAGAGATGGTAAGGCAGCACTTGAGTCTGACGGAGACTTGTTCTTTGACAAATTGGAAGAATTATAAGGGACTTGAAAGAGGACTGATTTTCTCCATTTGGGAACTGACTGTTATTAATATATTTTTAAACACCTTCATTGAGATAAAATTCACATACCATACCAATCCCTCATTTAAAGTGTGCCATTCGGCCCTTTTCAGTATATTCATAAGGATTGTATAAACATCCAACGGTCTAATTTTAGAACATTTTTTGTCCCCTCCCTAAAATGAATCCCGTACCAGGTGCAGGTACTCCTCACTCATCAGACCCTTCCAGCCCTAAGCAACCACTAATCTACTTTTTGTTTCTATGAATTTGCCTATTCTGGACATTTCATATGAATAGAATCGTACAAATCGGCTTTTGTGTCTGGTTTCTTTCACGTAGCATCATGTTTTCAAGGTTCATCCATTTTGGAGCACGAATCCGTACTAGAACCAATTATTTAATGCCCCACCCTGGATTCCTGTAAAATCATCTCGACAATGGTCCCACTTTGGAAAGCACCCCTGCAATGGATACTGAATTTGCATGAGTTACGGCTTGCCCCCTCTTGCTTGCTCCCTGCTCGATGTGGTCTGGTCCAGCTTTCCCTGCCTTTGAGCCCAGCAGCTCCAAGGATGGAGTTGGGGGAGGGGTGTATCTTTCAGCTGACCTTGGGTCTGGGCAGGAACTGGCCCACATGTTGCTGCTACTCAGCCCTCCTTCCTAAATCAGGACTCTGGGCACTACTGGGAATCACTGTCTGTTCCCTCTGTCTGGGAGTGTGAATGAGTCACCCAGCGAGCGTTTGAGCAACACCTGCGTTTGCCGGTCTGGGGCCTGCAGGAGCTGGGGCAGCGGAGGGCAGAGAGGTGCAGACCAGCCAGGAGGCAAGGGAGGACATGGCTTGACTCACAACTAGGCCGGGCTTCCCAGAAGCAGCCTTTCCCTGCCTCTGCCCCTACACTTGTTTTCCCTGCAGGAGGCTGGTTTTTTGTTGCCCCCCCCCTTGTTTTTTTTTGCGGAAATCCTTTTGTGTGTTTAGCTGCTGTCTTCCCAGGCCAGCTGTAAGTGCCTGAATTGCCCAAGTTCTGAAGTATATACTTTTTGGAGCTCCTCCTAGCTACCATTTTTGCAGCCCGCTAAGAGCGATGCTTGTTTTAATCCCCTCAAAGGCGCTTGTAAGTTAAGTGATCTTTCCCCATTTTCAGAAGAGGAAACTGAGGCTCAGGAGAGTCAGGTTACAAGATCTCATCAGAACAAGTCTCATGATTAGGAAATACTGGAGCTGGGATTCAAACTGGACTCAGAGCCTGTGCTCTTGACCGAACAGGAAGGCAGAAGCCATGGTGGTGGGCAGCTTGCTTACGGGTATCCAGAAGGCAGAGCCATCTCTTGGGGGTCGTAAAATGGGACATTTACCTACATCTCCCTCTGGAGAGTGCTGCTGGAGCTTGGGCAGAGTTGGGGAATCTGCTATGGAGGGAGAAATATCTCCATCCAGCCAATACTTAAAAAAGATCAGCAATGTGTTGAGGATAGCGGTGGGGGGGGGGCGGTCAAGCGGTATGGTGTTCCTGGAACCTTTGCCCCACAACTCAGGACCTCAAGTCAAGGGCCTTTGGGGGATGAGTGATCAAGCTCATCTCAACCAACTTTAACAAAAAAAGGGAAATTATTGGCTCATGCAATTAAAATATCCAGGATAGGTCTGCCTTCAGGTTTGGCTGGATCTAGGGTTTTAAAGGTTGAAGCTCTCGGATCATTTTCTTTTGGCCCTCTTCCTCTGTGTTGGCTTGATTCTTAGGCATCCCTCTTGTGTGGTGGCATAGATGGCTGCCGGGAGCTCTAGACTTTCTTCCTCCCAGTTCAGCATCTCCAAGGGGAGAAGCACTTCTCATTTCCAATGGCTTTATTCTTAGCTAAAGTCCTGGGGTGGCTGCTTATTTGCCTGGCTCATCTCACCTGCTCATCCCTGAACCAATCAGGCAGTAGGGAATGGACTGCTCTGGGTCTGTGCCAGGGGCACATCCCTGGAGTTAGGGGAGGGGTCAGTCCTTCTTGAACCATTTAGACCAAGAATGGGGAAGGGATGGATGGTTCCCCCAAAGGAAATGCAAGGGGCTGGTATCAAAAGCAGCAGGAATGGGAGCTGGGCAGGTCCCAAGACAACAGACGCCGTCCTCGTGGGAAGTAGAGGGGCTGCTATCCAGCTATCTGGCTTTGCCACCAACTTGCTGTGTGACCCTTTCTCCTTCCTGAGCCCCAATTTCCCCATCTGTATAGTGATTATCTTCATGGATTCACGTAGCTCTGAACTGCTGAGGCCCATAGGCTTCATTTAGCCAATGGCCCTGCATCCCAGCTTAACAGGTGCAAGCTGTGACTTAGGAATGCATGGCCTTCACAAACCCTGAGACTGAACTTGGGACAGGACACCCAGACTCCTGTTCCTGCCCGTCCTGGCAGGGTACAGCCTGTGATGGTGGGAGGGAAGGGCTCCAAGGAGGTTTCTTTTCACATCTCCAGTGTTCTCCATCTATAATTGGCTCCGAATGAAATGATCTCATCCCTGAACACTGAGGAAGAAGGGTGGTGATTTGGCGGGGGGTGGGGGGGTGGGGGGGTGGGAACAGTTCGCTGGCAGCATCTGACATAATCTGTGACTAACCCGTTTCCCTCCGGAAAGAGAGATGGTCCGCTCGCTTGAAGAAGCAGTAAAAGTTTGAGAAAAATGTCTTGGTGATCCACTGAGGAGCATCCAGCTTTTGGGGGGCTTTTGAGAGGCCCAAGGCATTTCTCCACTCCGTCTAAACCACGTATCTTCTGACCTTTGCTCACAAGTCCACCTGACCACCTGTCATGTCAGCCACTGGCCGGGGAGGAGGTGAGCGTGGCCACTCCATCAAGCGATCTCTCTTGTATGGATTCTTGATGGGGTTTTGTGGCCAGCTGAAACTCGTTTACATGCCCATACATTAATTTTGAAAGATGGGCTCCTAATCAACTCTGAAAAAGCTTGTCACAGCACCATCTGTTTGGCGTTTGTCACTATTGCATTACATAAGAGGAAAGACATTTTTAAAGAATGCGGCTGCATTTAGTAATTGGATCGCCGGAGAGGAGCCAAGCCGGGGCGGATGGCACCGTGATTCAGAAATGCCACAGGCCCTTCTCTAGGGCGGGGCGGCCTCCCCAGATTCCACTGGGTGTCATCAGAGCCCCGAGTGCAGCCCAGCTCAGGGGACACGCCCGAGATGGCTTCCTTTCTTCTTGTCTTTCTGTTCCTCTCCTGTTCTTCCCTTCCGCCCGTTTGTTCTCACTCACCTGCCATCTCAGATCAGTTCCACTACCTATTAGCGGTAACGAAATGACTTCACTTCCCTGAGCCCCGATTTCCTCATCTGGAAAATGGAGATGATGAGAGAGTGCGGCTGTGCAGTTTAAGTGCATTAATATGTCCCAGTTCACACCTTGGGCCTCCCTCCTTAGAGTCATAAACATCATTTTGAGGGAAGGGTCTTCTGTTCGTTCAATAGGGCCAAAGCACCCCTGCCTCAGGGCCTTTCATGCTGCTCTTTCTTTCTGGAATACTCTTTTCCTGTATCTTTGCATGGTCGTCTTCTTACTCTGGCCCAAACCGATGTCACCTCCTCAGAGAGGCCTTCCCCAACCACCTTAGGTACCCCCTGCCCTGGTCCCTCCAGTCATACACATTCATCTGTATTATTTTCTTCTCAGAACTTGTCACCTGTCTCCCTGAGGACCTGGTCTGTCTTGGTCGCTGCTGTATCCCCAGCACCTAGACCATTGCTTGGTCCATAATTATTTGTTGAATGAATGACCAAACTCGTTAACTCTTCATGACCATCCTTTAAGGCAGGGGCAGGA